ACGACGTGTAAAGCTAGATAATAAATTATATCTCTCAATTTCATCTTATTTTATTGCGCTGTTGTGGATCAATTGCGCAGAGAGTCGCGTCAGTTTGGGTGGGGCGTTCAGCTTACTGATCTTTCCAGCTTACTGATCCCGCACGTTATCCATCTGCCAAGGTTCCATCTTTTGATGTTGGTAGTAGCATAGGCGCCGAGTAATTGTCACGTGCCCATTGTACATCAACACCACTTCCTTCTACCTCCAGACCACAACCCTAGAATCCATCTTCATCCCCTCAAGCTCATAATTATAACCCATAGAGGTGGTTCCAACTTCACAGCCCGACCAGGCACACCCACACGCCTCCGCATCTACCGCACAAAAACCCACATCCTCCACTTCCCTTTCCACACCAATACCCCCCCCCCTCTACTTCACCCACCCCGCCGCAAATCTCAGCACTATCCATCCCCTCGTCCTCTCCACCGCCATCAAACGCGGCACTCCAACTTCTTCAAATTACATTATAGTCTCCGCCGTGATGCCTGATTTTGACCGTGCGTATCGAGTAGTCGGTACACCTTAGTATACTCCTATTCATCCTATTCCTGTATCTTTAGATGTACCTCGGCCGTGGCTTGGATTCCAACAACGAGTATACGTGATGGAGTTGGGTTTGATGCAGTTCCCAGTGTTATTCTGTAGATTACTCGGTACTTGGCTGGTGATGAAAATGCTTATCTGATTGTTTGGGGTGGAGAAGAAATACTATATCATTCCCATTGTCACCATTCTCGTTTTGGGTAGAAATCTCATCACGATCTAAGTTTTCAGTGGCTGTTGATGTTATTCAAGGAGTTTCTCAAGCAGTTGTCATTATGAAGGATCTGACTGAATAACTGATTCATCCGCGCATATATCTATTTTCTTGCTGTATTGCTTGCAAGAAAGGTGGGAAACATAGCCAGCGAATGTGCGCGCAACGTAAGTCACACTCCTCTCACGTCGATCCCAGGCTTCGTATCGTAGGTCCCGCGCAAATGGGCCAAGCATAATCCTGAAGGTATGTTCGAATCCAGGCGCACTAATGCTGAAAGGCCTCTGGAGTTCTTTGTCTTGAGGAAAGAGAGCAAGTACATCTTCCCGGACTCTAGAAGCTTTAGCGATCGAGCGAACAGAATATCTTTCCAATATTGCGCCGCACATATCCAACAAAAGGATCGATTTCGGTATTCTCATCTCCAAGCCCGAGACTCGGCTTTTTCCTCGATTGTCTAGTCTGTAATTTCCACCCGGAACTAGTGCCATAAATAAAGGCTGTTTTTTTCGATGCCTGGGTCACCTTTCGTCCACGGAAGCTAGCCCTGATGACTACCATGACGTTGTTGGAAGTCAGTTTCTTTCCGTAGATCAGACGATTGGAATACTCCTGCGGGCCTAGAATATCTGTTAGATTCAAGAAAGCACGTGGGTAAGAGGAGATGCATGCGAACAGAAACATGGAATATCACGAAGCAGATGTTCACAGTCCTTCTTTGCAAATAGCATGCAATTGCATTCTATTTCGTTGATAACTATTCTTGTGTTAGATCAAAAAGCCACTCCACTACAAAACTATGCTAACCAGATCTAGCACAATTACTACCTTGGAGTGCAGCTATATCACAAGTGTCACAATTGACCAAACATAATTTTCTACACCCTACAAACGGGCCCTCCAGTTTCCTTGGCACAAAACAGTGCCAATGAAACCCTTACTAAACAATTCCCGATGGGTAAGAAGCCACCACCAATACTGTAGTTTGCGTGATTGCGAATAAAACTGGATGATGAGATTGCTGGCTGTAGAGATGAGTGAATAATCAGAGCGATTGCGCAAGAAGCTCTTCTTATACAAAGAGAGAATCTTGGGGGCCAGCGACGATTGCAAGTTTAAATGTCTAGAGAGCACAAGGGTCAGTCTTGAGCCAGTGCAGATGTGCATGAGTGCATCGTAGACTCGGCGCAGTGCGATCTGGATGGTGATCTAAACAGGTACAGACAGTGGCTATAATTAGCTCGATGTTCTTTATTTGGAAGATTTATGGGTTCAAATAACGCTGCCAAGCTGGGCAAAACACATTTGCAGATACGGCCCCTATATTGAATGTTCCTTGCAGCAGTGTTTATAGATGAATTCTACGAAGCCAAGGCTCAGAAGAAGGTATGCCACCGAATACCAAGGGTCTCGATGTCATGAATGAAGGGACTAGTGGGTGGCCTACACGCAGATGCAGGGGGCCTACACACGCAGGCAATTCACCGGCACCATGGAAATGTGGTAGAAGACGTTGCCCAGGTACCAAGCTGTTTTTCCAGAACCAGTGCGGCTACTTGCTAGCGCACCAATCACAGTCTGCCAATGCTGACAAGTATCCAACATACTAGGTTAAATGCAGCTAGTTCCATTCGCTCAGGACCCGAGTGAACCAATGATAAAAGGCCCGCTCTATATTAATGGGGTTGAATTAGTATGCAAGAAGAAAACATGGGGCTTGAGGCCTCGGCAGTCCCGTCGATAGAAGGTGCTAGGTCCTGTACTAAGATGATGAATGGATAGAGGTACAGTAAGGGTAGGTTCATGTAAGACTCTGCCTCTACCATAATTCTATTCACAGGTAATGCAACCCTACCATATCCCTACCCTCGCTCCATACGAACTCAGCCACCCCCCCCCCCCCCCCCCCACTACTCAACGAGTAGACAATACCATCTAGAGCAATATGAGGGAGCTTGGTTGTGCTAATAGGATTCTGTTGAACATAATAGGCATGATTGTAGCTACAGCATTGACAACCTGCATCTACTGGGTGTATCTACGATCCAAAGCGAGCAGTTAGGGGTACTAATGCGCGACTTTTAGAGATGCGTAGCAAAGTAACTGGACGTGAGGTGAACGTCTCAGGAAGTGCTACCTTGCAATAGGCTCGGCTTAACATGCAAATCCAACGTGAATTTTATACGCGTTCTTATAGCACTATTCAAGCAAACGAGATTCGTACCCTACTCTATTTAAAAGACCTCGTGGAATAGCTTATTGCACGAATGAAGAGTCGCCAAATTCAACCAATCGCAATGTGCGAATCTTGAGAGACAGCACACCACGGTGCATCCAGTGTTGCATGGCTGGTGCAGGACATCAGGCGTTCACTAGTCACTGCTGGCAAATTTTATCCAATTAATTCTTCGTCTGGCCATCTTGGCGATACTAAACAGGGATATTTTGCCAGCACACTACTACGATGAGCTAGTCCAGACAAAGCAACCAGCGCGCAACTAGTGGGATTCCTTGCTGTAGGTTTGGTGTGAACTTTCCCTAAATCACTCACACTCTAGCTCACATGCATGGCTTTCATATTTCAGGGCACCCACGTTTCGGGGACCGTGACTTTCCAGGCCCCCCACACTTCAGGCCTCCCCATATTCCAGGCCCCCCACTTTCTCGGATGCTTGACCGTTCTATATGTGCAAGGAAATCCGAAATTAATGATTAAGCATAATTGGCTTGCCAAAACTAGCTGTCTTCAACATGAATATCTAAAAGTACGATCCATACACTTCTGGAAGTTGTCTTTGAGAGTTAGTCTCACAGTATTCCAGACAATCAGCTGACTTTGAGTACTTGTATTTTGAAGATCAAGAATCAAGTATTGCTTTGAACGATGAAAAACGTGTTAGCGTTTAGAGTTGATTCCAGAAAGTAACGCCGAAGTTATTCTTAGTTTTCCCTGTACGGGCTGGCAACGGTGTATCTATCTTGGCGAAGTGTTCCGAGATTTTAGCCTCACAACATACGAGTCCTAGCCTTGCATGTTATGCGCCCTGTTGTCTTGAACGCTAGCCGTGCCGCAACCTTACAAATGATGCAAAAAACAGCCGGTTAATAAAACACCTACTACACATTCTCTCATGCAACTGATATAGCCGGAAAGGCAGCGGGATCTCCTTGTAGTGCCAAATAACTCAAAAATAGTTCAATAGTCACCTGCTTACCTTCTGTGTTAACACGTCTCTGGTAGGAATGAGACAACATTTAAAAATGGATATATTATAAAGGATATAACGTCAATCTCTAATTGCTCTTTGAGTTGGCAATAGCCGATTATTATGATTTTCGGTTATATTGGTTACATGTAATGACACTGTTGCAAATGTCTCTCCAAGTGTTTGTGCAAGCCAAGTGAAGATGAGAAGCGATTTTGCGCTAGATGGATTTGATAATACTCCGTAGCACATGCCCAGGATACGCGCGATGAACTTGACTATAGAATAAATGTACTCAATTTAAAAGCAACAACGACCAGAGCCGGCGCTAACAGGCTTTGGTAAGAAAGGAACTTACGACCTATAGCGCCCCTTGCAGAATAAGTGCCTTCTTGATTAGACTACTACTCATTGAGCTGTCACACCCCTCCTTCTAAGATCAGGCCGACGCAGAAGAGAATCATTCAGGCCCACCACTTAGGAAATATCACAGGGGTGGGTGTGGATTTGGGTCTAGATGCCTGATATTTCTTGAATTGTAGTTTCCTATCATGGCATTCGTTCATGTCAGAGAACTGTGATGCTGCTCGTGGGTAAACTATAAAGTCTCGACGAAGAACCCTCTTTCGAAATCACAGCCAGGCACTTCCAGCTTCTCTTCCAGCAACTATCACCTCTTCTTCGAGCAACTACCCGATCTCTCAAGATGCGCTTCTCAGTCCCTGTCATTGTCGCCTCTTTGGCCGCCACTGCTGCTGCAGCACCTACAAGCCCAGCTCCAGGATCTGTGCTCGAGAAGAGAAATAACTTTTGTGGAGCTACAACCTTTATCAACAACAGCTCTGGTGGTTCTCCTTGGATTGCCGACTGCCAAACGCTTTTTGATCGAATTGCTGGCGACGGTACTTGGGTAAGCTTCTTTAGATTCCAATAATATTAAAAAGACTTAGCTAACAAATGGTTGTAAAGTTTGTCGAGGGCCCACAGAAACGTATTGCAAGTTGGGCAACTTGCGAATTCGGTGCTAGGTCTTTGGACGGAACCATCACGACTATCGGAAATGAGGATGTTAGAGATCTTGTCCGCGATTCTATTGCAAGGTTTGCTTGGCAAGGAAGGGTTGGAGCTAGCGGAGTAGTGGACTGTGGCAGCCGTGGAGGTGTGAAGGTTTGGTGGGGCGTCTACCACACTTAATGGCCTTGCCTGTTGAGTTGCCAAGCATAGTATTATGGTCTCATTCTCAACTAAAAGACCAGGTTTTGTGCCAAATTTATTTATTCGTGCAGAAAATGGAGTAAATTTGAAGCTACGACCCATCTTGTTTGCTTTGAGAATTGTGCATCACGATAGGAGCTTCGAACCCATATGTAGTGATTTCATGCATTGTTGATGGCCTCAGTATCAAGACTCTTTAGCACTGTTAGTGTACTGCTGATTTGCTAGGGTTCCGGGTTTGGCGCTTAGTTCCATAAGCTCGATTGCGGGTACAACCGAAGCCTGGGTATATGCACTAGATAATGCTGTTGCCACGAGGTCGTTAGCGACCTTGTTAACAATTTCGAAATTATGATCAATAGTATCCTGATGATTCTTCCAACACTCCGTCATTTTGCGTTCAAGGTTCTGAGTTTCTCATTTAACTACTATATAACCTTAGTTAACGCCTTATGTACACCTTTTTTAGTGGCATTACGCTTCCTAGTGCGAAAGATGTGTTAGCTGTTTCAGATCTAGATCGTGCCAGAGTCGTTAGCTGATAAGTCTAGATGTATTAATTGCCTGGGGTAGTGTTTGTTTTGCTCGGTAATGCTTCCTGTACGTCTCTTCAGTAGTGCTGCTAACTCGGTTGCCAAGGATGCCATCACTTTCATGACGCGTCCGGGTCGCAAAAATATCTACACAACAGCCGTATCCCGTTAATTTCTCTTAGGTGTGCAACCCGTTGGCTGTCTGCCAAGCTTGAGAGCTGGGCATAGCTGTGGAGATAATGGCTGAAACTCAGCAAGTACGTTCCATTAAATCAATCAGTCAATCACTTACAAAAAGGTTTTATTCTCATGTCGACTGTCCCTCGGTCCACAGCCAATTAGAGGTTTCTTTCCAACCATTGTTTTTCTTTGGCGTAAGAGAATAACATATAAATAACTTAGCTCCTTGACCTAAGATAAAGGATCCAAATTAATCAGCACCACAGTGTGTTACACCCATAGTTGCGCGGCTTTATGTCAAAACTTGTGCGTTTTCCTTCCTCACCTGGCGGGAAAGCAAGTCGCATGATCCTTGTACCGTGATAATCATCACCTTCTAACCCAGACTAGTGTTTAACTCATATGTTTAGATAATTTATGGATAAAAAAATAGATTTGTTCATCGTTGAAACCTCCACTCCCAGTCAACGTTGATCGATTGAACTGACCACTCTTGAACTGCGCTTCTTATGTCCGTCCTTATGTTTCCTCTCGACAACTAGACCAGTGCGTTTCGCTTCTCTCTTTTTCTTATTTGTATGGTATCTATCATCAGCAGCCGTATTGACTCCATTTACCACCACTCCAGTTGCAACGTTGACACCCGTTTTAGCTGCGGGTCCAAAAACCCCGTTTTCAATACCAAGCTCCAGTACTCTCTCAGCGCCCAGAGTCCCCAACCCGAGCGTCGTCAGTCCCACAGCACCATTGAAAGCAGCCGATCCCACCATATCTCGCTTACGATTCCTTCGATGCTCTTGGTCAAGATGTCGTTTGAGGATTTGGCGCTTCTTTCGAGCATTGTAAAAGCCTGCGGACCCAATGGCAACTCCAATTATACTAACGCCCCCAGTAAACACCAGTGCTGATCCACCAAGAGTAGCCGAGGCGGCCGCGCCGCTGATGAGGCGTGTATAGTGATTCCATTCGAGGTGTAGTTCCTCCGGTGACATCTGCGAGCACTTCCTATCATATGCATCGAAGTCGAATGGCATATCTGTTATCGGAGGTGGTGCTTTATCCGTGAAGGTAGGAGAGGCTTTCGATATCGGTATGCATAGCTGGTAGTTTTCATTTTTTTTTGAACTTATGAAGTTGAAGATCTGAAGTGAGGGGCTGTGCACTTCACCGCAAATCCCCACGTAAGTGTACGCGTAATATTTCAGATAAGCGAGTCCGCTATCCTATTAACTCTAAGCATCTCTAAACTTTAAGCATATCTGAAACTCTAACTAATTATAGCTTTATTTCCTTGATTCTGGTATACTTCTCCTCGGACTGATGTTACTTCGGTGTTTTGAAGATGCACTCCGTGAGAAAATCCTAAGATCCACCTTAATCTAATGATTATAGTGTACCTATCTTCCGTAGCGCTGACTGATAAAACCTCGACCTCTAATACATATCCTCCGCTATTCTATGGTTCTATCAAGCAGGCACACAAGTAATCATTGTAGGTCATGTCGAGTACCAAGCGTGTCACCGGTCCCATCTTGTCGAAAATACCAGCCCCCTAGTACAATTTGCCCCGGATTCATCTCCTTATCTGGTTAGTTATCGTTTGTTCGTAATGCGAAGTGCCCTTGCGTTTTTGCGCAAGACCTAACCATACTTTCTGCTCGTGACTCAACGTCGACACTATGAAGACTGACCTCCCCCTCCGTTCACTACTTATTTATTCTAATAAATATTTGTTGTGTTATTTCATATAGTATTTTCCATCTCCAAAATCGTGCGGGAGTCAATCAAAGAGAAATTGACAAAGTTTGTTCGGCACTAAAAGCTAGAAAGTCCTTCCTGTGAATCGGAACATTGAAAGTAAACGAAGGGTTAATTCTGAAATTGTCTTCAAAATCTAGGAGTTACATTCCGTATTCACAATTATAGCCTAGCACTCCCTAAGCCATTCAACTATAACCCAGTCTCCCTTAGAGGGTGAAGCTCAACCTTAACCTGCAAGATGTCTGGAAAACTCAACCAGGAGGAATATGAAGCGCTTCACGAGCACAATGTTATAGAACGAATCGACCCCCCCCCAAAGCGCAAGATAAGCTTAAGCTATCTCTCACCTTCCCTCATTGCTTTGCCTGACCTGGTGTACCCCGCTTCCCTAGTCAGCGTCGAAGCACTCGAGTTTATTGGCCTGAACAGAGATACAGCACAACGTATCTTCGACAATCTCAAATCAGCTCAGATTGATGATCAAGAAGATGAAGAAGAAGCTGAACTGCCTTCGTTCGTTCGGGAACATCTCACGCAACGGAATATCAAGTTTGGGAACCTGCCAACCGCGGATGCGCTCACCAGCATCGTACTTACAACCAACACCATCACCGCCATTCTCAACCCCGAATTTCGAGAAGTTTTTGGGACAGAAACTCCTTTTTATTGGGCTTTCGATACGCTGCGAATGAGGTTCAATCATGTTCTACTCGTCGAAGATAAAATCAAGAAGTCAGCTGAAAGGGCACTCCTGGCTAAGAGACAGAGGGAGCAACCCAATGTGAAAGATCTTTTTGGTGGCAAAGAGGTTCTGTCTTCCCAATCGTCCGGCATGACCCGTAGTGGCATACGTGCTGGCAGTTTCCATCTGCCAAGGGCCTCGGCCCGGAACACGCTGCACCTGGGATTGATTAACGTTCGACATCGTAGACATCGTAAACAAGGGAACTTTCTTTTATGTCTATATCAGTTCTCCGCAACTAACTCTCAAAGATAAGCAACAATTTTACTGCCTACAGACGCAATGCAGACATGCGCTAACACAAGCCACCACCCTAGCGTAAGAACTTGTTTCCGGAAAACCACACATGGATCCAAAACGCCCACACAAGATCGCTAAAGCGGATTTGGGGCGGCTCTTTTGCTAAGCATTGACCTACATGGCCATCCGGATATCGTAAACGCTGAGTGCCGTCACGTGATTTCTCTCCTTCACCTTAACTATTAGCACAGCGAAGCTTATTTTACTTTCGAATTCTATCATGATCGAGCAAACTGATTAACGTGTTTGTTCAATTAACCAGCTAAGAAAACCTCACTAATATAAGGCGAGATGTAAGGCCTTACATTCGCCAACACAGGTTTAACGCTACAGTTGTAACGTCGCAGGGAAGACAAGAGATCCAAACTCGGTGTGGTCTCACTCAGAGGCATATGGAAGTGCGTGGGAGAACCGTAACCTAAGATCAATTGATATCTATAAGTCTTGTACGAAAGGATTGCACAAAACTGCCTATTCTACATCAAGGGAATAGCAAGCTTAAATACATGCAGGCTAAGGAAGGCTGAGTCAAACCTAAGTCAGACTCAGATCCGAATCAGTTCCAGGATTACTGTGAGTCTAGACGTTGATGTAGCTGTAACGAGGGAGTATATAAGTGCCTAAGTCCGGTCCTAGTAGGTGATCTCGTCCCACCCAATCTGGAAATCTATAGGCCTAAAGTCTAGACCATTGACCACCAACGTTCGTCAATTACCACCAGATCTGGCTTAGTTTTTAATAACGTAGTAGATAAGCGAGTGACGCAGGTAGACTAGTGAATGGGTTAAGGGCACCCACTATAGGTTAGGGCAGGGTCTTAGGCCTACCAAGAGTTAGGCAGGGGTAAGGCTAGATTGCTTAGTATATAGATATAGCAGGCTGGCGCTAGCTCTTAGCAGTCTTAGGCTCTGCCTTAACCCGCAGTGGATGACCCAAACTTATTTACCAATCTAACAACAATAGATCTTTGCGTCTCCCGCAGAACACTCAAACACGAATATATCAAGAAAAGGAGGAAGATATAGATTATAGCCATGCTTTAATATCCTGTCTCTAGTGGAATGAATCTGTTTTAGCTACTTCAGTCCTTTCAATCAGCTCGCTGCCAATCTCTTCTCGCCAATCCAATCCCTTTTCCAAAATCTCAGGATTCTTTTCAACATACCATTTTATCACAATCATTGCCAAGATACTCCCTGCTGCAAAAGCGGCCGCCAGAGGAAATCCAATCGGATATCTGGGCGAGTCTTTCGTACGCCATACCCGCAAAGGAATTGTAGCATGCCCCACATAGACCAATGTCACTGTCATCCCAACAACCACAGCTCTTGCTTCAGGTTCTTTCCGCAATATCTCGCCCAGCCATGCCAATAGCGCATATCCCCACGCTGCTGTGGCAAAGGTCAAGAAGTAAAAAGTCATAATGACCCCTCTGCCGTTGGGCCACCCCGCAAGCACGCCAGTGGAAAGGATCTGAAGTGCTGCAGTCGCACAAGAGATCTGCCACCTCCACTTCTTCCAGTCCGAAAGCGCATTGAGTCCAATGTTGCAAACAATGCTGATAGAGTACCCAATCAATGGGATCAAGTTGACCACATACGTGCTGTACAACGGCGATCCATCTCCCTTCTTTAATCCTTTGAGGTAAAGCAGGAGATACGAATTCGCACGCTGACTCCATGCAAACTGCAAATATGCAGCGAAAAAAAGATACGTGACAGGCGACTTGGCGACCAACCTCAGCTTCTTGATCACAACCTGCTTCCCAACGAACTCCGACGTGAGGATTCCCGCATCACTCATGCGCTCCCTTGCAATCTCCCGCTCTCTTTTTGTCAAGTAAATTGCTCTTGTTGTCGCCGGACTATCCGGAATCACTACCAGCCCCAGGAAACCCCAGAAGATAGTCATTATTCCCGACACAATGAACAGCCACTGCCATCCTCCAAGTCCCGCAATCCCATTGAGATTCTTGTACAATGCCGCCTGCAAGACGGAAAGAAACATGTTTCCTGCCACTCCACTAACACCGAAAATTGCCAGCCGCGTAGCAAGTTCACTAGGCTGGTACCAGTTGAAGATCAAGCTCACGATGCCCGGCCAACTCGTTGCTTCGAAAACGCCCAGAAAAAATCGAAGAGCGAACATGGTCCTCGAATTGGGCGCCTTGTACATGCATAGTGTCAAAGTACCCCATACCATCTCACAGATTGGTAGAAACAACGAAGGACGGACGCGAGTCTGAATCAGCTGCGCGGGTACGATGAAGAGCGCGTACCCGATGCTGAAGTAGGTGGTGAGCTCTACGAGTTCGTTGCCGTGCATGGAAAGCGATTCTTGCATTCCCGATACGTAAGCGGCAGTCGTAGCGGATTGGTCCATGTCTTTGAAGATACCGGCAATGAACGCCCAAGTTAGGAGCAGGACATCGAGCTTTAAAAGGAGGACATTGTTTGGAGAGCGGAGGTAGGGGATGTAGCGACCAAGTAAATTGGTATTCTCATCAGATGGAGTAGAGAGAATCTTGTCTGGTTCAGTATTCTCGGATTTGTTCGTAGGCGAGGAGGAAGTCATGGCTGAGGTGTAGTAGAACTCAAGAGAGTATTGAGCTACGATGCTTCATATATACATATGTCCCTGTTAGCATTCCTTCTTGTATGACAGAAAGTACAGTGGGCCAGAATCAGCTAATCAAACACAGCATCGTATCGGAATGTCTGCTGACCCTGCGCTTTCATTGGTTCATCCCGACCCACCATGATTCCTGCCACACAGGGAGGGACGTTATCGCCATTTTCTTTTTGATGTCGCAATTGCCACGCACAGACAACACAGTATTGCTAGAATATCTCTCCAGGGCTCCCTCTCACTAACTAGTAGAAGATCACCGTGTTGAGGAAATTTCCTTCCGCCAACTCTCCCCGACCCGCTATTTCTTACGCAGTTTGGAAATTTTCGTCGGATCTGAACAACAAGCCGAGAGACTACTGCAGGGCCAAGCATCCAAATCTTGATTTTCCCTGCGTCTCGTTGGTGCCGTTCCCTTGTAGGTTGTGATGACAAGGAAGACACATTAGCGAGCCCTAAAAGGCCCGACTTCAAATAAATGTTGACAACCGTAGCTATTGATTGCGCGTAGCTTCTTCCTACGTGTGAGATAAGAGAACTCCCTATTTTTCTAGCTCACTACGAAATTAATGGGAATCCATCGACCACATCTAGATTTCAAAACTGTCTTGACATTTCATTTAGTCTTCAGTTGCGCACATTGAACTCTGGCTATCTAGCAATATGCCCTCCTCGCCTTTATACCCTTCCTACCTTCCCACCCGTCCCGAAGGCTTTACTCCAACCATCAATGTTCCACCCTTTGAAGCTACAGAACCTGGTCTCAGAGCTGATCCTTCGAAACCAAATTTGAACGAGAGTGGGGCACAGTTCACTAATATCACTCCACGAATTGGGACCGAAGTCCGAGGTGTTCAGATTAGTGCGTTGACAGGAGAAGGATTAGATGAAGTCGCATTGTTGACTGCTGAGAGGGGAGTTTTAGTATTTGTATGTGAAATTTTGATTCTGGCTGGTGCCTAGTTGGGTGAGGAAGCGGGAGCCAATGAGAATGGGTTTTGGGACCAGGGTTGGCTGACTGCTGCTAAAGAGGGATCAAGATTTTGCAGATCTTGGGTTCGATCGACAACGGGAGATTGTGAGACACTATGGTCCTCTCCATGAGGTATGCAATCACGTTCCCACACCTGACTATAGATGACAACAGGAATTGAAATACAAAACAGCACCCTACTATGGGATACCCCAAGAGTACAGGGCCAGAGTTTCACGTCGTTTATGCCGATGAAAACGTGCAAGTCCACTACTTTTTTCTCCACGTTTTGTCTGGGGAAGATTCTCACTCCTGACATACTCGACAGTAATCTCCGCACCCTCCTTGGGCCCCGCACATCCTTCGATCTCTGGCATATCGACCAAACATTCACCCCCAACACCCCCAGCACAACCTTCTTCTGGGTCCTTGAATCGCCCGCCTCGGGGGGCGGTGATACTGCCTTCACCTCATTGACTCACGCTTACTCGGCGCTCTCCCCCACCTTCCGCTCGCTCCTACATTCTTTGAGTTTACAGCACACGTCTGCATCTATCGGCGAAGTCGCGCGTGTAGGTACCGAGCGTGCCCTTCGTGAAGCCGTAAACACCACTCATCCACTTGTCATTCAACACCCTGTGACCAAGGAACCGGCATTGTTTGTCAACCCGACAATCGCGCGCAAGATTGAGGGCATGCTACCAGAGGAGAGTGAGAATCTGTTGGCATTCTTGCATGCACATATCAAAAGCATGGACTTCAGTTGTCGGATAAAGTGGGAGAAGGGATCAGTCGTGGTTTGGGATCAGAGAGGTGTGGCACATAGTGCCGTGCCGGACTTTAAAGAGGGGGAAAGGAGACATATGGTCAGGATGATTCCTTATGGAAGTATACCGAAAGCTGCTTTTGCTACAAAGTAATGGTTCCTTTATGTTGGAACCCTAATTTTGGTTAAGCAATAGTAACAGGCCAAACCCCGTTTGATTAGCTCAGTAAGAGTTGAAAGTTAGGAAGTCTGGTTGGTTCTCAGGGAAGCATGACTGTAAGCAAAGAGGCGAGTAGGAACGACGATACTAATGTAGTACGTAGTAGCTTTCATCTATAAAGAGTAAGATGTACAGCAAATAGCCTTAACGTGTAAGATGCGGAATGAATTGCTAGCTATGAACAACTGCAATGGGGCGGGCCCTAAGGGTAGGTTCCAGAAATAGAAGTGGTGAATTCGATGAGGGCTACGTCTAGGCTACCAGTTAGAATGTTATACGTATATCGACCTCCTCCGGAACTGCCATGTTGATCTTCTCACAGATCTGCACTGTCATAGCCGGCCTTGCCATGCTCATCTGCTTCCCGCTTCAATTTGTCCTTCACTTCTTCACGGTCTACAAAATACTTGATTAGAAAATTCGAAGCGAACCCCGTGTTGGACCTCGGCGCATACCTTCCTGCATTCAAGATTAACACGGGTACCCATGCGATAAACGCCTGTCCAAGTTTTTGCGGAACGCCGATCACAATCGCTCTATCTTCCATGCCTTTATCCATCACCTCAATAGTCCATACGTAAAGTACAGGCCAGAAACCCCAAGACGTGGCATTCAGCAGGTAGTCGAGAAACGCAAAGCTGTACGACGGGTAACTCGCTACAATTACCACCTCGATAAAGTTGAGCGTAGCAGGTATAAAAAATACCTTCCAGCGGGTGCGCAAGCCATCAGAAAGCTATTAGAATGCAAAAAGATGATCGCCAGTCTACACTATATTGAGCAGTAATATGTATATACCGCTTTAACAAAAGCCAGTCATAGGTTGAAGTTAATACTAGACCTGTCGCCTGTACTGCGGTAGGGAAGAGATTGATCTGGTAGATCGAGAAGCGATGGAGTGGCTGCGTAACAACGCAATGCAAACAAGAACAAAGGTAAAGACATGTAGCGGCCAGTGGATCGCTATCACCTTTAGCTTCTTCATTGGCAGCGGCACGGGATTTCTCCGGTCTATTGCGCCCATGCGAGCATTGTGCATCTTTAGCTCCTCTTCTGGCATTCGCCGTGCTTTTACAGCATATGGGTTACCAGGTATTTCGTAGTACTCCCCTAGTAGGCCCTGGATGCTGATGATGCCGCCGCAGAGTATGAATAGCCACCGTCATCTAGGCAGACCAGCGATGCCGTCCATGCCACGGTATATAGCAGCCTGTAGGTACCTGCCGAACACGCTAGCCGGATAAGATGCAGAGTAAAAGATTTAGATGCGCTTGGAGAGTTTGTGAGGTGTGTACCAGGAGCCCATGAGAGTAAGGACGCCGACGGCGAAGGGGGATTCCAGCATGCCGAGGATGAAACGTAGGTCAAAGACAGTCTCGGCATTTGGCACAGCTGAGAAACAGAAGATCAGGATTGACTAGAGGAGTTCCATAGTTCGTAGGTAGACTGATGGGGGAGTACGGGTGAGGAGAAGTTGAGAGGGGATTTGGCCGACGCCGGATTGAAGTTAGTTCAATGGATGGATCGAAGTCTACGCATCGGCGCGACTGACAGGTATCCACAAGTGAAAAAAAGTGGAGAGCAGATTGTACTGGTTCCCGTGGAAATTGACGTCCTCCTTCATCCCATACACATACGCATTCGTGATATCCCCTGAGTCCAGCAGCCGAATATAATACCCAAAAGTCACCCAGCTCAACACAAATATGTCAAGACGTTGCACCAGTTCTCGCTCTTCCGGCGTGCGGTCGCCCCCATCCCAATTTATCTCCTATATTTTCTGCCGTCTTGTTCGGGGAACATACTCTTCTGTCAAAGCATGGTCTCAAGTAGGTTGAACGTGGATAGGATTAGGTCCACGACTGGTAGCGGGCGTGCCATTGTGGGGGTGAGTCGGATCGCAGGATTTGGAAATAATGAACCATGACATTGTAGATTTATATCATTGATGGCGTGCTGGGATGCAAGAACCAGGTAGCGGGAACGGATCCATGCGTCCTACTGTGTAGAATTCATCACGACTGACTCCGAAAAATGACGGGTCGTTATCGCAACAACGTGATGTCGCAATATTGTGGCTACGTTGGCACTTATGCTGGTTAACCTAAAGGAACAAGAATCCCGGAATTACTATTTTCTATTTAGCCTGCCTGATAGTGCCTCCACAACATATAGCAGTGGAACAGGCAATTTCAAAAATAAAGATTGAACGTCTATGGCGATGCAATTCAGCATGACATGTATGTAAATCTCGGAATACAGGAAGAAGTTATTATATTCCTGGAATTGAACCATCATGTAGGCGACATTTGTTTGTAACCGCTTGATTGAAATTATCAAACACCTCCTACTATCTTCTCGTAGTGCTCGTACTTATAACTACTACCAATATGGTCGTTTCGAAGCTTGCTCTGGCCTCTTCCGTATATCTGTTCGCGCAATGTCACTCCACTGTCTAGGTCTTTCTTCTCGGGATACCGTCCCCTTCTTCTCAGCTCAGGGACCAGAAGATCAACCAGGTCCTCAAAGCTGCCCGGGCTAACCACATAGCCAACATTGAACCCGTCGAGATCCGCTATCTCAATCCATTCTTCAAGAATATCAGCGACCTTCTCTGCATTTCCCACAGGTACAGGTCCGTTTCCACCCAAACTAACTGCTTTCCCGATATTTCGAGGGGTCCAGGATGGTGTGTCATTGCCGTGATATTTTAGTGAATTGACAAGAGAGTGCACGCGACCGTCAACGCTCACATCGTCTGGCGTAATCTCGCAATCAAGGTCGTATTTGCTCAGATCGATTCCAGCGTTGGATGAATAGAAAGCTAGGCCACCTTCAGCGCTGGCGAATTCGAGCGCCCTCTGATACTTCTCTTGGGCCTCTTCTTGAGTGTGTCCGATGATAGGCGTGATGACTGCGAACACTTTCACTGACCGAGGATCACGACCAAGAGCTTCGGCTTCCCGTCTGATGTTTGCCACGCGTGGTGCTAGGATATGCGGCGAAGGGGCAGCCACGAACACGCCTTCGGCATGACTTGCGGCAAATGCCATGCCTGCACTGCAGAGTCGCATCAGTTGGTGGGAAAGATGGAGTGGGTGGGAAAAATTCGCTTACGATGAAGTCCCTGCCTGAAACAGAAATGGAGTACGTTGAGGAGAAGGATCCAATATATGAGACGCATTGATTTTGAAAATCTCAGTTTGGTGTTGAATGTACCGGATTCGATCAAAATCAGCATATTTCTCGTTCTCAGCATCTTCCTTCAGCGCATCGTCCGCCCAAGAAGCTTCCCAGATTTTGTACAGGCAGCGTAGGTAGTCGTCTGCAATTGCATATCGCTTGTCGTGCTCGACAAATGGAACACCAACAGCCTTTGCAGCGGACTCTTTGAACGAAGTGACGATATTCCAGCCAAAGCGTCCCTTTGTGAGGTGATCAATTGTGGAGAAGCGTTTTGCAACAACAAAGGGCGACTCGTAGCTGGTGCTTGTCGTAATGGCGAAAGATAGGTTCTTGGTCGCTGCGGCCATGGCAGTTACCGGTATCGAAGGATCGCCCATTGGGTACTGGCAAGCAGTGCGCACAGTTGGTTCTGCACTTCCCTTGTAGACGTCATGCTGGCCGTATGTATCTGCCAGAAAAAACGCAGTGATGTCGCCTCGCTCGAGTATTTGGGCCACATCAATCCAATATGATAGGTCTCTTCGTTTATCTTTCGAACGGTCCTCTGGCCTTCGCCATTGGCCGAAGCTGAGATGGCTAGGAGTAAACATGTCAAAGCCATTGAGAAAGATTCGCTTCTTCGAGGGTTCGGTATCGATCTTGTTGGATGCTGATGCCATGTTGAATTTTGAGTGGAAATTTGAGGCTGACAGGTGTGATGTTGCTGTTCTGCACTGAGATGTCACGTCGCATTTATCAGACAGCTGAACAGTTGCCAGTGAGGCTTGGCTTGGCTTGGTATCGCATCGCACACTGTGATGTGTCTTATCAATACCTATACACTATCTAAATTTCGGAGCTTCCTTTCTTGGTATTATCAAGAGTGGGTGGTGGTGCTATTATTGACGCTACATCTGACAAAAGTGACGTGCTTCGCCAACAACCTGACTTGATATGCAGGGAATTGAGTGCAAGGGTGTACTGCGCGCCCAACACCGGCATGTTAGAGTCAACAAAAGGTACTATCTACTCGCATCACATACTAAGACTAGCAGTAGGAATACTACACGTGTACTGCTCAACCGCGTACACGCCACATCGGACATTTTTTGTTTTACTTCATAGCCTCGGCAAGTCATCATCATGTCATTCAAGTCGCGACTAGAAGCTGTCGCCGGCCATATCAACCCACCAAAGACTACCCCTACCATTGTGGTTGAAGATGAAGTGCTGGCAAAGGAACCGTCACCAGAGTTTCCCCAAAATCAGAGAACCATCTTTCCGCCACTGGAGCTCGAAGAGCATTCAGTGGATGATGTACGAAGTTTGCGAGTCGCAATAGTGGGTGCGGGTATTTCGGGTATCTTTGCTGGTATCCTCCCCCGGTAAAGTTCCAAAAATTGATCTTGTCATCTACGAGCGAAACGATGATATTACAAGGAGTTGCATCTCTTCATGAATAAGTCCTAACAAAGCCCCAGGGCAGAACATGGCACAGTAATATCTGCCCCGGCGTACGCTGCGACGTGCCAGCTCACGCCTACCAAGCAACGTTCGAGGCGTCCGACAAGTGAAGCACAGCGTATGCAGGGGTGCCGAAATAAAAATCTGCTGGAAGCGGATAATGGACAATTATGAACTTGTGAACAAGTACATTCGATTGAAGTGTCGCGTCGATAAAACCGAATGGTCCGAGGAAAAAGGGAGATGGCTGGTGACTGTTGCGTCGAATGGAAAGATTCTTGGAGATGCCATCGACTTTCTTGTAATTGCGACTGGGCATTTCGCAGATCCAAGGTTACTTGACCATCCCGGCAGGGATGAGTATGAAGGCCATTTGCTACATAGTTCTAACTGGGATGAGACCTTCGATCCTGCAGGAAAACGCATTGCCGTGATCGGGTGAATGGATCTAATCCCATGGAGGCGTTCCGAAGCTGATCTGAACAGTAATGGAGCCTCCGGGCTACAAGTCCTGCCACCACTCCAGAAAGTCGCCACTCGAGTCGATCACTATGCACGCAATTAAACTTGGGTCACAGCTCCAATTGCTGGCGAGAACCTGGCTCAATATGTAGCAGATAACATCGACAAGGCGAGGACCAGCCCAGACGAGTATCTGAAATTTCGAAAAGAGCTAGAGGCCCACTTGTTCAGTCGTTTTGGAGCTATTTTCAAGGGTAGCGAGAAGAGCAAAGATGCCAAAGCAGCCATCAATAAGCTTATGGGAGACTGAATAGGTGACAGAACCGATCTTTTTGACTCGATTCTTCCAGATTTTGCACCCAGTTGCAGGCAACTGACTCCGGGTCCTGGATATTTGGAAGCCCTCACCGCTGGCAACGTAGACTATGTGATAGCTCCGATCGAGAAGTTCACCCGTATCAGCATTCAGACAGTCGATGGTATGCTCTTGTACCTACCCAATCACTTCAATCAGTATCAACAACAGCAGGAAAACACCGGGAAGTGGATGCAATCATTTGCAGCACTGGGCACGACGTATCCTTCAGTACCGCGTTCCCCATTTATGCCAATGGAATTGAAGTCCAGGCTGTATGGCGCCCAGGTGGAGACCCCGGATTTCCAGACTCGTATCTTGGCTTTGCGGCTCCCAAGATTCCTAACCTCGTGACTATGTTTGGTGCTAACGCGACAGGACCTGTTGGGACGCTATGTCATGCCGTATAGACTCAGGTTGCGTGTATATTTCAAAGGTGCTGCGTAAAATATCTAGTCAAGGGATCCGAAGTTTAGCACCGACCGTTGCGGTCACTCGACACTTCCGCGCGTACTGTGAATCATTTTTCCCGAGGAAAACCATGAGCGAATATAGCAGTTTGTGGTACAATGGAGGAATTAAAGGCGATAAGATCCATGGACTGTGGCCGGGCAGCGCAGCTCATGTAGCATTCGTTAGGCGCGAGTCGAGGTGGGAGGACTTTGAATATACCTATATAAGTTCAGAAGGCAATTGATTTGGGTGGCTAGGGAATGGGTGGGCAATAGGGGATGTGAAGGCGAATAATGGTGTTGTAGATGAATGTTTGGACTTGACACCGTGGCTGCAAAAAGGAGCACTTACCGGAAATGTAGATCTTGGAAAGTATCGTGAAGGTTGGTGGAATGTGTAGGTAGTGTTTTCAATTAGTTAACGCACAGTACAGGTAGACAGTGGAGATCATATTATTGTACTTGTAACTGCACATGCCACGATAGGTACGCCGAGCAGCCCATCAAAGGAGCTGATATCTACTTCATCAGTATTTTGCTTCACAAAGAGCCAGAAGAGAGACACACAACCTTCCTCCGACGGATTACAGAGGCTATGGATCCGAGGACGAGCCGACCGATTGTGCATGAAATCGTAATGGGTGCTGGCGATCCGCTCCCTGAAGACGCCTCGTACAACGGCATTGCTACCAGCGGGGCCACTCACCAGCAAGCTGGATTGGGTTCTACGGGCAGCATTACCCGTCTCAACATCGATATCGACTTGCAGATGCTGACATTGCTGAATGTCTTTGAAAGGGCTGGGCCGTGTTATAGCTGGACATCGATGGGGGAAAGCTGGCCGAATTTCTGTCTCTGCGATAGCATGATAGCATTGGCAACGTCCCTTTCAGGTGTGGTCGTCTCCTCGTTGGATTAGGCAACCACACAGCGAACATCCGAATCGAAAGTCGTGCATCATGCAGTTGTGTATTCTATCTTCTGCCTCGACGTCTTGCAGTTATTCTTGGTACAATATTTGCCTCAAATGTGTTTATTATTCTCTTCATCGCTCGATAGCTTTGGAAAGCATAAATGACCATTCTTGTCTGCATCTCGTCGCAAGCCTTATCCCAATCCTGCTCCTGTTTTGCGACTGCAGAACTGCGTCCTTTTGCGAAGTCAGCCCCAAAATCCTTCCAAGCCCATTCAATGCCGATATCTAGTGGACCAGTTCTTGAGGGAAACATGACATCAAAGCCTTTGACATCCATTCCATACATGACTGTGTGACTCTCCTAATTTTAATTTGATAGTGCCTCGATGGAAAAGTTCGGTTTGCAGATGCGTAAGGGTTTTAGGCCGTGAATCATAGCTAGGACATTATCAAGTACCACACCGGCTTGCAGCCATCCGGCACGAGCCATACGCGGGCCTCCATGAACTGCCACATCTCCGAGTGCAAAGATGGGAAGATCAGAGCCCCCTCGGAGATCTGGTGAAAGAACTTGGAGATTTGTCGCACAACAATCTGCGAAGTCTTTTCTGAGATGGCATCCGGGGGTAGATCTTTCAGGATGGCCCAGTTTGGTCGCTTGCCGGTACATCCAATCTGTCAAGTCAGTCGCATGTTGCAGCCGTATAGGCATAGGATGAGAAAAGTAGACTTACGATAAGATGGAACTTCTCTTCGCGCATGTCTGAGAACTTAAGGGTTGCCGAGCGAGCCATATTTGAACCTGTGGGTATCTGAGGCCGTTTGTTGAGGAGTACGCGCACGTTGAACTCATCATGCAGGGCTGTGAGGGCGCACTCTTGGAGCCTTTTCCAAAGTTATTGAAGAGATTGTTCCGCGAATGAACGAGGGTGAGATGTTTGTCTGGATAGAAATCTTTGATGTCGCTCGCAAGCTCTACGCCAACTGTACCTCCACCAACAATTGCGATTTTCTGACTCACGACAATGACTTGCTGCATTTCTTGTAGCTCATGACATGTAGCGACTCGATCGGTGGATAATACGTTAACTGAAAGAGGCTACGAGAGACATCGATGAAAAGGCTGAATTCCAGAGCTCTGGCACACAACCCGCCAAGGATCACCCTTGTTCGGCACGAGGCGGTCTAGACCGCAAGCACACCTGCTAACGCAGCACCTACAACGATAAGTTCGCATAAAAAGACTCTTTGTGGTCCACCATTGTTCTACTGCTGCCATTGGGTCTTGGCTAACAAATTGCAGCTTTGGTTGTTGTGTGTGGCTGTATGCGATGTATCGAGATTGTACCCAGCAGCCCAAGTGGGGTGTAGGATCATTAATCACTATTGATATTCTCAGCAACATGCTAGTTGCTCATATCATCACCAAGTATTCGCATCTGATCGCTCCAGCCAAATGTCATTATGACTGTTCCTTTCCTGATAGAACCCTTCGGCATGTCCCTTTATCCTATGGTGGGGAAGTCTGTTACAACCCACCATTCGCCGAGGCCTTCTCCTACCCAGAACCTCACGATAATTACTCACAGAGCTTTTCGCGTCGCACTTACGACCTTGCTATGGAAGCGCACGGGCAGCCTCCTCCAACTATGCACCGCCCACCTAACACTACTGCTATCAATACGCCCTGTAGCAGATGGTCGACGGAGGAAATGTGTAACAAATTCACTTTGAATCACGTACCTGATAGCACAGTATTGCCAGTGTCGATTGTGCCTACGCCTAGTGGCAGTTTAGCAGCTCGTATTCTTATCTGCAACCCCATGCCTGGCTCGACTTCGCTGTGCTCGCTCGAATGCGCGCCTCCGCTCTCTGACTCAGGACAACGCGCCTTTGAAGGCGAAACAACAGCAACGCCTGCTCCACGCAAGCTAGGACGGCCTCTTTGGCAGCGCACTCCTGCCACCTCTGCTGATAGCTCTGTGACATCAAATAGCGTCCGCCAGACGACCTGCGTGCGGCATACGCAAGTCGAGCGCAAGTATCGCGAAAGCATCAACATGCGGCTCGAGCGCTTACGCCGGGCTGTAGCAACATTACCGCAGGCTGTTGGGGCCGATGCCATTGGAGTGGCGAAGCCAAGTAAAGGCATCGTGCTAGCGGCAGCGATTGACTATGTCGGCCGCATCGAGAGAGAAAGAGACGCCGCCATGGATGAGATTGAGCGGCTAGCAGGCGACGTTAGAACTAGGCAACTCGAGAGGTATTAGCGAGCTGTCACACCTACATGGCGCCCTCATGAACGACACGCTTAGAACACAGTATTCTTGCTATCTTTAGCTACTTGCTGTATTTGTGCTATCTTCTTATCTCACCTGCGCGTTTCTAGTCCTAGCGCAAAGGATTCAACTCGGGTTCGGTTTCTGACGCCACCCCACATGATATGTAAATGCTATCTACGAGTATCAAATTACGCAAATCTCTCGAAGTAGAAAGCCTCCATGTCTCCAAAAGGATAGTTCCACGCTATGGTTGGTGTGTAGGAAGCGAAAAGCCCCTGCGTGGCGAGAGCCGTATTCCGCGCTTCTACCAGCCCCGCAGGGTCCTCCTCCTGCCCCGTCTATGTTAGAAAGTTGGCATTCGATATGATATCGCTGCACTGATATAGGATGGGCTAAGAGCGCTGACCTTTAGTGTCGGCTCAGAACTCCTCTAAGGATGGAGGTTGCCAGATAGGAAGCGAAGCCACAGTTGCTGACACAGCGACAGCTACAGGCAGGGATGAACGAAGAGAAGTGGGTGGCGGTAAAGGAGCGGGCATAGGTAAGCTTTCTTGAGTTGGGCTAGCAATCGCGTCGGGTAGGCTTGCTAGTGTGTTAGCGGCGGATCGTTTGTTCAGACATGCTGTAGATAGCAGCAGCACTGCGATTACTCTGTGATTGACGAGAATTGATAGAGGATATAGCAAGCTAAACATGTTCTTTATCTGAACCTAATAGAGTAGCGCTGCATTAAGCCATTATTGCACGTTGAGATAAAAGAGGTACGCAAACTTAGTAGGGTGTGGCGCTCGCTTGTAATCTACTTTGCATCGGCTCTAACATTCCGAGGAGGCGGCCGTCTTATTGGGGTAGCTGCTTCAATGATGGAACACAAAAAACCCAAGGAAACAAGGAGAACCGTTGAGGTGCCTGAAGGGTTCTACTTACATGGCGTAATGTCGTTACGTAAATGGGATTTTGCTTTTTTCCCCATGGCTCGAGTTGAGCTTGGGGAACGCAGTAATTAAGACTGACGCTGCGCCGCTTGCATAGTGCGTTTCCAGGCCGGTGCCCTGGATTTTCCCCGCATCTTAACGCATACGTACGCGGAACCAGGCATCTGTCATGTTGGACGCTGCTGGACCGAGGAAGAGCACGGCTATATGTAAGTACACTGCACAACAACTTCAGATCCGCATAATCCATACTGGATTACACATGCGCAACAGCCAATTATCAGAAGGTTTATGGAATCGGCAGGTCCGTCACTAGCGCACCATGAAGATCAAATCACATCACCAGCTACATCTTTGGTACAGAGCTGTGCCGGGTCCCCCATTCAAGCTGTATGGTGCACTCGTCATATAGAGTTTTGATGCCCCTTGGGTCGAATGCACGTAATGTATGCACAGACACCAAGGAGCTGCTTCGCTTGCTCAGATTATGGGGAAGGCGGCAGGTTTCCGTGGCGTAAGCCACCTCCTTAGGCGTTTGGTACGTATAAAAAGTTTGTTCCACAGCCAACGACGTCGCTGCAGACCAAGTGCTCCTGGTATGCAGGCAACCCAACATGAAGCGTTTCTTCCTCCTCTGTATTTTGCTTCTGGCTGTGGTCATACCTTCTCGAGCCCAAGATCATGCCCTCAGCTCGGTCCCGCCAGGTGCAGTAAGTTATGTGTAATTCGACGAGAAGACCAACACACTTATAGCCTACCTAGCAAAGCTGTGTAGACAACTTTCTCAAAACACCGAATTGTGACGCTCAGTCGGCATCTTTCTTGTCCTGCGCTTGTAAAAATCCCACTGCTTTGACTGAAGCGCGGGGGTGTTTCAGTGTCGGATGTACACCGAAAGAATTGCTCACTGCGCTCAACGCTACTAGCGTCGCATGCGACGAACCAGTGCGCAACAGAGGGAAGTCCTTCCGAACTATTCATGTAGCCTTCTTCGCTCTAGCTCTCACCGCGATCGCTATTCGATGGACAGTTTATGCTGCGTATGATCGTATACATTGGATACAAGAGGCTAATATGGTCGTCGTTTTGGTCAGTATTTTCATTCTGATGGAGGATCTATCTCATACTACGCAGGCTCTTAACATTGTTTTTTTCGTTATTTGTTATAGAATGAGTAAGCGACCAAACCTACGACACATTGCGTCAAGACGTACTCACCACAACAGCATTTACCGGGCTGGGCCAAGACTTATGGAAAGTTTCGTTCTCAGACATCACGTATACTCTACGCGTCAGTTTCTCCCCTCTCTTGGCCATTTTTCCAACTCACACTTCTGCTCCAGCTCTTCTGGATCTCCGGATGCACTTACTTCGCCCTCATCACATTCGTCAAACTCCAGTTCCTCCTCTTCTATCTACAAATCTTCCCCGACAAGAGATTCCGCCGAATCGTATTTTGCGTCATCACATTCAACTTAATCTCCATGGTTGCTTTTATATTCGCTTCCATCTTCTTCTGCTCGCCGGTAAGCTTGGCGTGGACGCAGTGGGACAGAGAACATACAGGCAAGTGTAGCAGCAACAAGAACACACTGTCCTATGCGAATGCTTCCATCAGCATTCTTCTTGAATTGGTCGCGTTGGCTCTACCAATACCAGAAATCTGGAAACTGCAACTGTCTCTCAAGAAAAAAATTGGCGTGTTGTTGATGTTCAGCGTGGGAGTTTTGTAAGTGCCAACACCACGTCGTTTTGGATGATGGAGATGTTGACAGGATAACTCAAGCGTGACCATCGTCTCTATCCTCCGTCTGCGGGCTTTTACCTACTTTGCTAATACAAGAAACGTCACCTGGGACTTTACAGAAGCTTCGCTATGGTCCATCATCGAATGGGAAGTCGGCATTATTTGCTCTTGCATGCCTGCCATGCGTCTCGGTTTAGCAGGCCTCTTCCCCAAGATCCTCGGCAGCACCGCGCATAGCACATACAAGAACACGAACGGAACGAATCTGGGACAAAGCGGGAGGGGTACACTTCAAAGAGTGGGCACGGGTGGTATCAGCGCAAAAACAACATTCAGGGTGAGCCATAAGCGGAAGACACAGAGTCTCGACAATGAGGAGGGCTTCGTGCAGTTGGTGGAGATCGACACAGGCGTGCACAGTGCGACCACCTCGTCAAGGTCGTTGACTGGCGAGGGCCGCGAAGCACAGGACCATTGACGATATGATGAGGGTATATAATGTAGTGTCCTCACGAATTTATTAATTTTAAAGAGAGACCTGAGCGTTTAGCATGCTCGTTGACTGGTATTAGGTCAAGTATTCTGTCTTCACGACGAGTACAGTTGAGATGGATGCATCTTGGATTGCAGACATGCGTTACTCAAGGCGTAATCCATTTGCTTTGAGGTAGATTTGCTTCTGGCCTCCCATCACCGAGTTCGTCAGGTCTCCAGTCACCATAAACACTGTCTAACGTGCAATACACTCACCATGAGCTCGGCCACTCGCGTGCTTGCCTCACGCATTCCTCGCACTTTTGCCCAGTACGCGAGTCTACAGTGGCACTTGATCGCATGCACCTCAGCAGTGCAGCCACCTCCACCCTGAGCCAGCTGAGCACTGCCACCGTAGCCCAGGTAGGGCTAGCGGCTAGGTCTAGGCGTGACTTGTTCGGGCTTGATCGATTTCGATTCGCGTTTTGGTACTTGAGTTAGCTTAGTCGCTGTTTTAGCTCTGCACGCGTCCCTGCCACACGCATGCGCCTAAGAATTACAACTACACAGCCATCGATTTGCAGCCAGGGGGCCTTGCGTGCCTGATTCGCCTACCGTTCGCCTGCCTGATGTGCTTCATGCGTACGCACAGCAGCCACGTCTCTTGTTACTGGACATCTCTCACCCCTCTGCGTGTTTGCTGCTACGCGCGATTCGAGCCTGCCAGCGTTCTCCCAGGAGAACATGCAGAAGTGTAATGTGCCTTCTCAAGTGCTTCCCAGACGATAGACGATGGTGGGAGGCTTGAGCGTGTCGGTACTGACCGATAAGGTGCTCGCTCCTTGATTAAGCCACTATCGGCGTTGGAACACCACGCCTAGCCATCATATATCTAGCGGCTGCAAGAACGTAGCAGCAGCGCTTTGGCACATTGCGAGACACGTATCGTCACGTGGACGTTATAGTTAGAGCTTTCCTACATCCATACACTGAAGCGGCTGTTTAGAGCTTATTGAATAGCAACTAGGCCACTCCTGTAGCTATAGCAAGAATACGGAATGCGTGACCCGAACAAGTAACAAATCACGGCTATAGCGAAATCAGCTCGACAGAGGACAACCTCTCGCTGTATGATCATCTCGCACTTTCCCATAGACTGACAGGCTCTTTTACAGGTGAGCGAAAGCTAAGAGAGGGCGGACGTAGTTTGAAGTGACAGTGATATTGGTAGCCTAGCAATGGCTCGTGGTATTAAAAAGTAAGCAGGAAAGCTACGATAGATACATCCCATCCATAGAAAAGCAACCAGTGAAGGTATCTATTTCGAGGACATCTATTCTATAAAATGGGGGTTGGCGTTGTTGAAGGAGAAGGGGGTGTCAGTATTTTGCCCTGGCGGTTCCGTTATCTGTGGACGGACGTTATCCAGCTGACCTAGGCTTTTAGTAATTATTAGCGTGTGCGGACACCACCTGGGTAGGTGGACGCGCATAAACGAACGCCACCACCAGCCAAGTAAGCAGTTTGGTGTGTGAGAAATGTTGTGTCTTCTGATGTGTATCATCATAGAAGCAAGTTTAAATAAAGTGTTATTACATAGTTAATGAGTGACCACGTGACCATACATGGTACTTCTAGGCTTACATATATATAGCGCGGCTCGATCTTATGTTAGGTGATTTTTTAGCCTAGAAGCTCAAAATATAGACAGTATTTCTGTTCTGAATCAGCTTGGTGGAGATTACGATCCATTGACATGGCCCGTTTTGCCTAGAGAAGATACAGATGGCGTTGGATAAAGCGATCAACTTAGTGGTAAACAATATCTTTCTGCGCGATCTATCAAGCAAAGCTCTGAACAAGGCTTCTACTAGGTGTGATGCCGCATACGCTTAGTTGATCTATATATCCTATAAGCTTAGTCTCCTATTCTGGGTGGAGAGCCTGCTGATTTTGGTAGCGGATAGCGCATGAGGTAGATAGACCTTAATGCCGCCGCGCGAGCGTTCTACGGTTAATACTAAATCTTTTAGCAATCTCGGTATATACAAGTTTTTCTCCAGGCTCTAAAGCAGCGATAGCTGTAAGCGCAGCGTCAATGGGCTCCAGTTGGGCTGGTTGCGGCATGATCAGGTGGGTGGTGTTGGTGTTGGTGGTGGTGGGTGGAGCGGAGCGGGCGTTTCGCCGTCCGCGGGTGCTTCCCAGTCCGGCACGGTAGGCCCGAGGATCAAACTCAAGGATTTCCATGGCTGTACATTTTCGCAAGGATCGAAGGTAAGGATACATAATTTACGATCTGTCCTAACGACATCGAACAACAGAATTGGTCATCTTCAGTAGTATAGTGGTCAGTATTTCCGCTTGTCAAGTCACATTGACAGACCGCGGGAGACCGGGGTTCAATTCCCCGCTGGAGAGCTCATTCTTTTTTGGCCGCGCGTCAAAGGTTTCGTCGCCATGAGGTACATGCATCCTGACCCTATCCTAGTTTTCTCTCTTTTTCTTTTTTTTAGATGTCTAAGATATGAAAGGAACAGCATCAGTTGACTGCTATTTATCTACTCATTATGGGTGGTGACTAGAGCACCCGGATTCTGTGTACAGCTAGTCAGAACTCGCCGCCAAGACTGCCCAAACTAGGCTGGGACAATATGGGTCTTACACTGTACAAAAGCAACATACTACTCTTAAGAGACGCGCCCGCGCATCTCTGGGAGACCAGAGAACAACAACACTATTCACTTTTCCACAATCGGTTCACTGTCTTTGATAACCAATCACAATCTGACACAGCTATACCTCTACAAGCCTTAAACAACACTATACACACAAGACTTCAAGTACAGCACACATATAGTTAGAAACAAAGTTCACAGAACACAAACATAGGCAAAAGACATCACTTTTAGAGATAAAATATACATAGTCGTAGATAGAAGCCAGACAACATCAGGCCCTTGGGGACAATTGGCTCTTTCGAGAGTGAAGTAGGGCGGTGCAGATTCATATCTGCATCGCGTCGGCTGTCTGCCGTGTCTGCCATCCGGGCATAGCAGTGAAGATCACGGCTGTAACCGAGCAGGATATAATCAATCAATCGACCGACTAACTTGAGGTGTCTGCTATGCCTAAGTAAAGCTCCCAGTTAGGGCGGCTAATGCGCACCCGCGTAGAGCAGCGTCTTGACCACCTGCTCGTGGCCTTGCCCTGAAGCTGCCTGCAGTGCATTGCCGTAGCGTCCGCCCTGGGCGTGGACCTCGGCGCCTTGATCTAACAACATTCTTGTAATTACCTTCACACCTAACAATGCGGCATAATAAAGCGGCATAGCTGTGCTATCTAGACCTCTTCGTAAATCTGGTTCTTTCCATGGAATATCTGGATCGAATAACTGGATCCAGCTGAGATATGCTGGTTGTTCTATTGACATCAAGCTCATCGCTACTTGACTCGCTCTGTCCGTCTCGTCCTCTGTTTGTCGAAGATGGGTGCTCCAGAACTCTGCTGCATATCTTGCGAGCGTGGAGGACTTAAGAATATACGTTGATATTGGTTGCTGTAGCCCTATTAAGTATTTTAAACAACCTTCTATTATTATATTATGGCATTTAACTTCTTGCATGCTGTACTGCTTTGCCTGTCCTTGCTTGATTCTGTCGGATGCAAGATACTCCTGGACGGAATAATGTGCTAAGGTGATAATACGCTGGGCAGGTCTTGTACTTCCTTCTGCATTGTTTGTGGTGATAGTGACAAGACTAGAGCAGATATCTAGCGCGTCTAGTGGGTCTTCTAGCACTTCATCGCGGTCAAACGCTGGGTCGCGCGCCACGTCAATAGCGACGACCTCAGCAATCTCTTCAACCAACATTGGCCGCGCAGAGAACGTCAGCCACTGTAGGATGCGCATCGCATACCGAGAATATTTATAGCTTATCGTGGACAGAATGCGGTCATATGTCTGGTCTAGCGTTCGCGGTAAAGTGGCTAGAGACATGCGCAGCATCGCCCGATTGCGACAGTTCGCTAACATATCAAGCTGATATACCGCCCATCGGAACCTATGCTATCGTTAGTTATAATTTTATAACCTGCTAGATGTCTATACATATATCCCACGAGCTCTAAGCATTAGTGCAGCCTTAATCTCTTGCCTAATAGCAGCATCTTTGTTCTATTTTGCTAGAGTCTTATTATTAGACAGCCTTTGTTGAACGTATCGTTGTATATCACTGTCTATAATATCTCTTTAAAGACAGATAGTGTCTTCTTCCTTAATATAACCCTCTAAAGAGGTCTGAATATCTCGCTCTTTCCGACTAGTCATAAGTAAATGTACGTTATTAGGCTGCTATGCAGCTACTATCTTAAGCATATACATTAATTCTTAGCGTTATATGCATTTATTAAGTATATTAAGAATAATATAGGTATGTGTAAACTATCGCATTACCTGCGGTGTCAGCTCTAGAAGTGCATATTATGATAGCTGTCGTTTTCTATTTTTACAGGCTAAGAATAATGCGTTGACGCCCTTAGGTATCATAACCGAACGCTATAGGAGCTAGTAGAGCAACGAGCGGAGCATCAGCTCTAGGTCCTGCTTCTGTGTATTATTAAAGTCGAAATAGAAGTACGCCGTCACCATACTAGCGTCACCGTCGCAGTGCTGCAGCAGGTGCTCGATGACCGTAGAGCTTAAGATAGTCTTTCCACATCCTAGGATCCCATACAGCCATAGTCGCGATACTGCACTTTCCTTCCATTTCTTGAAGCTTGCACTGTCCAACAGCCAGAGTCCAGTCTCAGCCTGCCGCTGCTTGTGCGCTTTGTGGTAGTTTGTGGATGGGTCAGGAGCTGAAAGCCAGCTGCAGATCTTGCCAAGCCTTTCTTCTTGGTAATGGGGCTCGAGTGCGTTTACTTTGTCCTCGCTATTGATCAAGGGTAGGTGAATGTCAAATATGCCAGGGCCGATCCGCTGCAGACTGGCCAGCCGAGTCGTGATCAGAATTGACCCGTGATCTGCATTTGGGAAGTAGTCCTTCACATTGTATGCCAGCGACTCGTCTCGGTCGCTATAGTCGCAGTTGACGTTGTCTATAATTAGCAGCCAGTGAGAGTTTGAAGATATAGACAGCCACTGCTCACACTCGCGCACCGCCACGTTAGCCTCTACAACGGTCTGGCTGATCATCTGTACGCCGTCAGCCGTTAGCTCACCGCGTGGAAGTCTCTGCACTATGTCGACAAACGAATGTTTCAGGCTGGCTTCTGACGACCCATCTATCCAGAATACTGCGCTGAAATGGTCCTGATGCTCTCGTGCAAACTCTACTGCTAGTTGTGTCTTGCCAATGCCGCCAAGGCCGTGGACGACCACAACCTTTTGACGACTCGTAGTGAGCGGAGCGTTGATAAGAGCCTTCTCGAGTGCTTGCATCTCTGCATCTGTAGCAACGAACCGGTTTACAACAGGCACGCCTTGTAGAGTAAAGTCAATCTTGTGCTTGCTAACACCTAGTGCGCTTGGTTAGCTAATCTTGCATAACAGTTGCAGCAGGGACTACTTTTATATACTTACATTCATACCGTGCCCGCAAGAGCTGAGGGGATGCATCAAGTATGTCCTTTATTGCTTCAGCCACCGTCTCAAAGTCTTCCCCTAGCGCATCTTCAAACTTATTCATGTCAAAATGCGTCCTCGATAGCGAGAACTTGCTCGTCGACTCAGAGAGGTCTAGACACGCAGCATGCTCGCTAACCAAAAGTCTCTGTCTTGTTTTTAGCATAAGCATTACATACGGTGTTTAGCTAACTTACAACCTGTTCCTGCTTGCCTATAATCCTCCCTAAGTAGCTAGGCTTAAGCTCGAAGAAGCACACGACCCGAGTCTTGTAAGCCTGGCCCCGCATTTTCTTCAGGAAGCTATCGACCAAGTCCTGCAGATATGCATTTCCTAGCTGTAGCATCTCAAGAGTGGCTGGCTGCACCTGCTCGTCGTGGTACCCACGACGCGCTGCCTCGAGCATCTCCATCTGGTTCATTCCCTCGGTGCCTCGAAACGGCGTGCCGAAGAAGACCAAGCCAGTCGTTGATGCGAATAATCCAGACCATTCGTTTTGGTACTGTTCGGCTTCTAGGAGTGCCTGCGGAAGCGTTTAGCGACTATTGTGTCTTCATCTCGTCCGTCTATCTATCCCCTCACCTTAATCACAACCAGCCCGCCAAAACAGTGTGCTATAAATACTAGAGGACGGAATGGAACATCCTAGTACAGTTAGCGGATACACGGCACTTACTAAGCATAGGCTAGCACCTTTCTCTGCTGCTTTAACGCTCTCAGCAACTGCTCAGCCACGGTAGATACACCATGCTGCATCGCTTCTTGGCCGAACCACTGAGACTCATATCCGTACCGCATGATACGTGCGTTAGGAGCTACCGCTGGCAGCATGTCGTCCTTGGTGAGCCAGTTGCACCATTGCGGCTCTTCTGCTGTGCCGGCATTCTTGCACCAGCTGTCGTCTGGGTGCGCGCCGATGCCATGCACTGCGACGATGTCCATGGGCTCAGTAGTAGCCTCTGCTGGCGCGTCGCGTAGCACTTTCAGCCCGATGTCTTCATCTGTCACAAGCTGGACCTGGATCTGCATTAGCGCCGCTTGTTGTTCTCGCTTTCTTTTGTCAAGAAGCTGGTCCATCGCAGTTTCTTGCATTGGAACGAGCTGCCGAATTCGGCTAGTAATACCGTCCCACGACAGTGTTTCATCTGCTTCTAAGCTGAAGCTAGATTCTGAGGTGGTGGAGACTGGACGAAGGGTTGGAGAATTAGAAGGCAGTGACGGAAGCTCCGTCATGTCTTGATTGCGGTCTTCATCAATCTCATCGTCGCTGACCTGACTGGCGTTCGCAACAGCGTCGCGGGAGCTGCCACCTGCATCAGTATCCTCTGAGCTGTCAGTACAAATCTGTATAAGGCGCAAAGACAGCAACATGAGCATTTGTAAGTGGTTGGCGACATGGTCTTGCATGGACCTGATACCAGTGGCTTGTAGATTTTGCGGCGTCAGAAAACACAGCGGACAGAGTTCAGCGTGAAGATCCTGTTCGTCGCCGCACTCAGCGGCTATAGCCTTGAGTTCGACATCGCTCCAAGTATGCTTGTGAATAGCCTTGAGATGAGCCATGAAGTGACTGGCTGACGAAAAATATGCGACTGACTCATGGGTACAGTCGGCCTTGTGTTTATCTTCGCAGCCGATACAGGTTTCAGTGGGTCCGAGATGATCGCCTTCGTGGTGGAGTAATCCTAGCTCGCACTTCCACATCTTCTGACGATGGATGTATTGTGGCCAGCGAGGGTGATGCTTCGACATGTGATCATTCCATTGCAGGCGCGAGGGAAAATGTATAGACCTTGCCATACATAGTTCCGACACGCATGGGAAAGGCTCCAAGTCCTTCTGGTAGTGATCTCTGGACTTTGGTTAGCTCCCTCGCGTGACTGCCAATAACTCAAAGAAATTGGGTTGATCTCACATTCCCAGGGGACTCCACCGACCACCATGGACAAAGCTGTGGTCGATCATGTGGAAACAATATCCACATCGTGCTTTCCCCGCAGCGTCAAATTCTGGAACAGGCGGACCATAAATCTTGCCAAGGCGAACGAGAGTCGTGCTAGGGTGAGCAAAGTTTCCAGCCGCTCTGAGATTCATGGAAAACTGACTGGATCTGATAGACGGCAGTGTTTGTGTTGGCAGGAGTGAAGCGTTCTGCGGAGCTAGTGTTTGAGATTGCTTTGACGGGGTCTCGATCCTATCAGCCTCATACGCCCGATGCTGCTGTTGGAGCGTAGTTGAAGGTGCATCTGTAGAATGCGCTCTTGCGTCTTCCTCGAGGGCTTCTTTCACAGGTGCGCGATATAAGTGGCGAGCATATCGGTCTACCAGGCTCTCGCGAAGTTGAAGAAGGAGGGTCTCTGGGGCATTGGGATACAAGGTTTCTAGCATGATGTGGCTTAGCAAAGCGAAGTGATCATTTTCAGGTCGTTCGGATAACGATTTTCTAGCTTGGACGGTCTCTGTCACTCTCGAAGATTGGCGGATGGCGATGCCGACATTACTCAATGCCTCGAGAGCTTCATCAATGGCTTCTGTGTGGTATGTAATAGGTTGTTCTTTCTGTTGCTTGCTCAATGTTACAGGTAACAAGAAGGATTCTCTCCTTGACAAATGACGAGATGGCTGAAGGCCTATGGACGTCCACGTCAGAAGGTAATGATCATCGCGGGGCGCTGATCACGTGACTTGGCATCCCGCCAAGGCATGGCCTCCGGGAGGCCA